GCATCCACCCTGTCCTCTTGCCCTTTTCCAGAGGTATCCTGGAGAACCACAAGCCTTGCTACAGAAGCTGCAGATATGAAAGGGGATCTTTCCCTTGGCATCCACAGACTTTTGAGCAGTGAAATAAATTGATTTGCTAACTAGAAAGAGACTGAGCGAACAAACAAAAAGGTCAATGAAGCATAAAATCTGATCACTTTTTTGTTTGTTGTTAATTTGCGGAGTTAGAATAGCATCTGACACCATACCTAATAAACCAATCTAATAATAATAACAATTTAATAATCTAATAAGCAATATCTTGCTTGAGGCTGGAGAAACATTCTTCTACTAAATGCTATATGAATACAGATGGACACCATCACTGCCCCAGGGATTTTCTAATCAAGCTCTATAAGAGCAGGGAAAGGGGAATTCTATCCCTGCTTTACAGATGGAAAAACTCAGGGATAAAAAACCTCAAGTACTTTCCCAAGATCAAATTGCTAACCAAAGAAAAACCGGGTACTGAACTGCGTTCTCTAGTAATGCCTTAACCCAAGCATAAGCATTGTTCAATCTTGATAACACTTCACAGTATAACAAATATTGTGCAATACATTTTCTTCAAAGAATGAAATTTCAGTAACACAAAGCCTATCGCATCCTCTGCTATTAAATCTCTGCTAATAGATAGAGCAAGACCAAGATTTTGTATATATGTGCACGGACAGATTATAAAGTATGTGGCGTAGCAAAATTCAGATTAGCAAATTTCTGCTATGTACTGCCTCATAAATGTTATTCCAAAATTTTCACTGAGCTCTACATGAATTCCCAATACATAGCATAACAAAAGTTTTGCCACTGGCTTAGACTTGGAGACATTCCGTTGTTCATGAATTAGGGTCTCCCATATGTCAAGTCGAATGTAAACGCCAAATCTGACACCTCTGGCTCATATATTGCGTTTGCAGGTGTTCACATCTGGCTAAGAACAAGTGAGAATAAGAACTCCTGCAACAGCAGTACAAAAAGCAAAAACAAAAGAAAAGGAAGATCTGACCTCCAAAATGCAGACTCTCAATTCTTATTAAATCTCAAAGCAATAGTAATTTCCTATATCATTTTCTAAATGGCATTTGACTTGATATTTGCTGAGAACTATCATGAAACTTTTCAAAGTCACATAGTTCAAAAAAGCCCTAGTGACACTTTTGAAGTGACTTTATTTCCAATTTTACTTTCACATTCGAGAAAAATACCTAAAATGAGAGGAAGAACATTTCATCAATGAGAAAAAGCATGATTAACATTTTCTTGACCCTGATATTGAAGAAAATTCTATGTATTAGAGGAACTGTCACTTACAGTGGCATTGCCAGAAACAAAAGGGCAGTTACAAGAATGAAGCAACATGGTTATGACTATGTTAAGATTGAAGATTAAAGAATGACTGAAAATAAAAAGACTGTGCATGGTTATTGTGAAGAATCTTGCAAATTTCACAACATCATCTAGGAGTTTTACACCTTACTGTTCTTGTTACAAGAAAATTTTCATTGTGTCTGTTTTTCAGTTGAGTCATTTTACCTAGATGCAATGGGAGCAGGTTGTAGTTGACCAATCTGATATCTGATATCTGATTCTATGATAAAATGACTGGCTGGGTGGATGAGGGGAGGGCAGTGGATGTGGTCTACCTTGACCTTAATAAGGCCTTTGACACTGTCTCCCATCGCATCCTCATAGGGAAGCTTAGGAAGTGTGGGTTAGATGAGTGGACAGTGAGGTGGGTTGAGAACTGGCTGAAGGACAGAGCTCAGAGAGTTGTGATCAGGGGTGCTGAGTCCAGCTGGAGGCCTGTGACTAGTGGTGTTCCCCAGGGGTCAGTATTAGGTCCAGTCCTATTCAACATATTCATCAGTGACCTCGATGAAGGGACAGAGTGCACCCTCAGCAAATCTGCTGACCATACAAAGCTGGGAGGAGTGGCAGATTCAGCTGAAGGCTGCGCTGCCATTCAGCGAGACCTGGACAGGCTGGAGAGCTGGGCAGAGAGGAGTCAGATAAGGTTTAACAGGGACAAGTGTAGGGTCCTGCACCTGGGGAGGAGTAACCCCATACACCAGTACAGGTTGGGGGTCAACCTGCTTGAGAGTAGCTCTGCAGAGAGGGACCTGGGAGTTTTGGTGCATAACGGGATGACCATGAGCCAGTTGTGTGCCCCTGTGGCCAAAAAGGCCAACGGCATCCTGGGTTGCATTAAGAAGAGTGAGGTGAGCAGGTTGAGGGAGGTCATCCTCCCACTCTACTCTGCCCTGGTAAGGCCACACCTGGAATACTGCGCCCAGTTCTGGGCCCCCAGTTCAAGAAGGACAAGGAGCTACTGGAGAGAGTCCAGCGGAGGGCTACGAAGATGATTAGGGGGCTGGAGAATCTCTCCCATGAGGACAGGCTGAGAGACCTGGGGCTCTTTAGCCTGGAGAAGAGAAGATTGAGAAGGGACTTCATCAATGCTTATAAATATCTAAAGGGTGGGTGTCAAGAGGATGGGGCCAGGTGCTTTTCAGTGGTGCCCAGTGACAGGACAAGGGGCAATTGGCACAAGCTGGAACACAGGAAGTTCAGCTTGAACATGAGGAGGAGCTTCTTCACTCTGAGGGTGGCAGAGCACTGGAACAGGCTGCCCAGGGCGGTTGTGGACTCTTCTTTTCTGGAGATATTCAAAACCTGTCTGGACACGTTCCTGTGTGACCTGGTCTAGGCCAACCTGCTTTGGCGGGGAAATTGGACCAGACAATCTCCAGAGATCCCTTCCAACTCCTACTATTCTGTGGCTCTGTGACTCTGTGATCTATAGTAAAATATCAACTTCTCCATCTTCCTCCCTTCAAACCTACTTTCCCCAGTTCTAATTATAGTACATGATTCACAAACTAACATGTAGCTACAAAGGGAAAAAATGAAACAAAGCACTGGAAGGTCAATATTTCCATATAAAACCATAAAACCTTATATCCAAGTCTAACTTACACTAGTTAGGAAGAGTCCCACTAGTATAAAAACACAACACTTGAAATCACTGTTGCTCAGAGATCAATGCACAAAACAAAAACCAAATCAAATGACTCCTTAATGGCGCTGATTCTCCGATCCAACTCCACCCAGATATACAGAGGATAACAGAAACACTGCTTCTGGGGGTGCCACAGAGCTGGGCAGGGACATTTCAGGCAAAATGTACAAGAGATTCTGAAGTCTTAGTCCAAAGAGGACACATTTTCCACACTGCTGGTAGCTGCATGTCCTACACCTTGGACACTTGGAGCTCTGCAGGAAAGAGCCACCATTCCATCCATAATCACATATGGAGAGCAAAGCACCTCCAACGCAGCAAGTGTGCTGTGCAAGCAGAAGCCAAGAATTGCCCAGCAGGCAAATACCCTATACCTTACCAAAGGCTGTGCTGAGGGCTTCCCTCCATGCAAGTCTCACAGCCCAGCACTTTCTTTTAAATCTACAAATTCTTTTCCAAGAACCAAACAGGATAGACAGGGATATGGGTGAAAGACATGGAGCTCTTTTCTTCTAAGAAGATACCATCAACTCTCTCTTCTTTTTTTCTCTTTTTTTTTTTTAAAGATATCAATGGACTAAGTTCTCATTTGAGATATGAGGTCAACTCTGTTTCTGCCTGATTCTTTAACATTTTCCTGAAGAGCTTCTGTCACATTATAGTTAGCATATCACACTCCTTCCGCTGATGCATGCTTCTGGCTGAAAAGGACTGATTTGAAGGACCCCAGATGGCAAAAAAAGGGAAGCATGACGGCAGAGCTTAGTGACTCCATTAGCAGGCTCCATTCCTCTCACCCCAGAACAGCTCCTATATTGTTATCTTGTGATGCAAGATCAAGCAGCAAATCCACTAGCTAGTGGCTATAGAGGACTCGTACAGACACATAGACTACATATAAGGTATTAGGTACAGTTGCTAGATATTGCACTGGTCTTTATGCAACATGTGAAGGGAATATGCTAGTCTGTGCAATATGTGTGTTACTACACTGCAAAACCTGACTTTATATACAATAGATCTGCTAAGTAAACAATATTTGGTTTTATCAGGACATGTAGGTGCCCTAGAGAAAAACAGGAAAATGCAGTTCCAGTGGCTCACCAGGTGTTGCAGTCATTAGTCACTGTCTCTCCCTTGGCATATTCTCTTCCGTTGTGAAAACATGGGCATCTCTCAGGAGCAACACACTTGTTTTCATGTCGCACCTAAGCAAAACACATAGTCAGCATGTGGGTCTGTCGGTACGTGCTAGTACACAGAGGAGTAAGCACAAGAACATGTGGATAAAGAATAGAGGAAAGGATAGAGGAAATGGCTCAACACTACCTAAGGTTAAGAAAGGTACAGCATTTCTAATATTTTTGTCATTAACATAAATAGATCCATGAGTACATAAATCACAGTCTTGATTCAGGGGCTGAACACCATCTTAAGCTGCTGGGAGAACAGAATAGATTACAGAAGAATGTCATGATAAGAAAGCCCAATTTGACCAAAACCAGCATGTGGTGAAGATAAAATAGGCTAAGATGAATACAGAAAGCAGATAAATAGCATATGCTTCTCACACACAACAAAGTGAAGGATGGCCTACCAGAAAAGCAGCCAGATCCAGGGCTCAGCTGGGCTAAAAACTGAAGTATGAACACTGAGGAGGAGACAAGGAGCTGCAGTGCCAGAAGAATCCAAGTGCAAATGCAGATTCTGTTGTCACAGACAATTGCCCCCCAACAAAACCACCCAGCTGTCAACTTGCCTCTGAAAATTGCAGTGGTCACTCATTTTCTTTCAAATCCCTATTTATTTCCTAGAAAGCAGGACAAACATCAGTCGACTTGAGACATTATTCCACTCTCACAGGCTCTGTGGCTGGGGAATAGGTCATTATGTTCTGTCTACAATTTTTCTTTTTTCAGTTTTACCCTACTGATCTTAGTTTGTCTTTCTATAACAACAAATCATTTGTCCCACTTAAACAAACAAACAAAAACAATCCAAAAAAAAAAAAGCCTTTATACTATTTATTTTTTTCCATTCCTTTTCTCTGTTTATTTCTGTGATTATTCCCTTTCCTTTTTGAAGACAGCCAGTTTTAGAGAATCAAACAAAACCAAGGCTGGCTATGTTGGTTTTCACTTGGTTATGGTTCTGCAAAGCCAGGGGTAGATTTGGCTCTTGCATCACAGAATACCAAAATGAAAAGCGCTTCCCTCCTTCTCATTCAAAAGTCACAAAATATCACCTTCTCAGTTTAAACTCTTTCTGTAAAATCATTAAAATAGTTTCTTCTTTACCATTAAATATGGGCCAATGAGATCAATGTAGTCTGAACGCCAGGTTAATAAAGTAGAACAGCTCTGCCTTTTCCTATGGGGACCTAGAACCGCCACAGGGAACTACTAATAAAAAAGATTTCACAGCCCACAGACCCTTCATTCATATGCAGCTCCACATGCTCTGTGGCTTATGGAGATCTATATTATGCCAAATAAACTCACACCGATAGAAGCAAGATGGAAACAAAGCAATGCTTTTCTTGATGACAGAGCTGGGGCTCTGCCTCAAACTTACTCCACAATGGATGGGGAGCAAACAGGCCAGAGAAGACTATATGTTTCCAAGTATGTGTAATTCTTCCTTCCTTCCTGGTGGCATTCAGGAAAAAAGCAATATATGACTTCACACTCACAGCTACATCTCTGCAATTTTCCACAGTGTTCAGCAACACAATTCACAGTAGACTTGAGGGCTAGGCTCTGGATACAAAACTTGGGATTAGACATGTGGTTAGTAAAAGGAGGATTAGGTCCTCTTCTACTTGCTCCCTCACACATTGCCATGAAGGTAATCACAGCCTATCCACAACTTTAAAAACTTAATAGACTGGTATTAAAATTTCCATCACAAACGTATTGCCACCACGAAGCTACAGTCAGCAACTGTTAATCCACTGACAAAGGGGGAAGACCACCTTGTCTGAACACTGTAGAGTGGGTGGACACAAACACCCAAAGTGGACTTTGACCAGAAGATTAATTATTTTTGCTGCAAAACTCAATGGATTACGGCTTTGTTAATAGTAACACACATCTACTGTTCATGTTGACACCATATCCAAAAGCTAGTATGTCTGACAGCCCAATGCCATGCTGCACTACAAGTCTGTCGAGCACAGTAGCATGTGGTACTACAAGGCCAGTGCCATTATTCACAAACAGCTGGACTTTCTGTGGAAGTCTCTCAATCCATCAATAGATAGCATTTAATACAGGAGATCTAACAGTCCTGAGTGCCTGAGGTGGTGGGAGGCATGAGTCTTGGGGAGGCAATCACAAGAAAAGACACAGGTTTGTAATGAGAACAGCTGCTGTTCGCACCATCTCACAACCTTATGATGATGCTCCTGAGAGCACATGCGTGGGATTATAAGTGGTTGACTAGCTGATGATTCCTCCTCTATTTGGGGATCTGACAGAAATTTCCATTGTTTCCTTGCTCTGTCTTATTAATTGTTAAGCTTTGACAAATCTTGCAAAAGGAAGGACAATATTACATATTTCAGAACCTTTAAGATTCTTCTTCCCTAAACTCTGCCTTGATGAGGCTGAATTTTAATCTCTTGGTTGACACAGTTTTGATGAGTATCTCGCTGCCAAGGGAAGCTCAGATTTTCATTGTTCCTCCTGATACACCTGAAGGCTTCAGCGGAAAGTCAGCCAAAGATATAAAAGAGTATGTGATTAAGTAAACGAAGTAGATCAGATTAGAACCCAATAGCTGATACGTTTTATCTAAAATGGCCTGTCACCTTTTCTATGCAGGCAAAGACAAGACAAAAACATGTTAGGACAGACCACTCAACATGTGCTAGTTTACACTTGACTTTTCTTATGTTAGCTGTATGCTTCTTACGTTTGTTTTATGAAGCATTATCCTGGGGCAGATGCACATACCAGAAAGCTGGTACCCACCTCCTTCTGAACACTCTGTCAAGTTGTTATATAGGACAAGCCTATACTGAAGAATACAGAATAGAGCTAGCAGGAAAATCAAAACAGCACTCCATTAAGTTTTTGTTGAAAACAGTTTGGAAGGAAAAAACCTTTCTAACTTTTCTGACTTAAATGTTTATGGATTTTTTTCTTTTTTCTACTAACATATCATAGTTTCAAAAACAGTTTTATTTCAGCAGCCAGAATACAATAAAACGTTTCATTTCAATTTTAAGCCTTAAAGTTGCTTCAGTTGTTGGGAATTGAAAGAAATTAATTTTGTAGTTTTGAAGTGTCTGGATTTTGTGCCTTCTGATTGTTCTGCTCCTCTTTTTCCCCAGAAAGGTGGTTAACACTCTATTTGTATATTTATTAATATTTTCCAATGGGAAAAACCTGGAGTGCAGTAAAATAATCTGAGAAAGCATATTTTTCCCCACACTTCTGCACATATGTTATGATTTATCTTTTCTGCTCTGCAAAAGGGTGACAAGTATGGAGAATTTCCCACCCTCCAGATGATCAAAGACAGAAAAAGAAGAATTACTTTTCATGACATATTGAACATTTTTATTTTCAAGAAATCAAAACAACGTAAAATATTAAGTCAAGATGAACTGGAAAACTTATTTTCCAGTTAAAAGAAATTAGTTTTCATCTGCATTTTCTGACTGGGGAAATAATCAACTGATTGATTGCCAATTTCTTATCCCAGCAAATTTTCCAATTCAAATCCAGGCAACGGCAGCATCACGTTCACGAACAATGCTTGATTATTGTTTTTCATTATTTTTCAGATATGTCATTCAAAATTGGCAGGCAATTTGTGCATACAGATTTTAGACTATGGATTCCTCTGTTTAAGACTGGTATCTCAGCTAACTGATCTGTAAACATCTCTTTATATATGGATAACATTGCACTTAATTACATATTGTTATATATACTTGCAAATTCTACTGGAGAATTGTTTATGTAAACTATATATCTTTGACTGTGTTTCCTGATGGTATCAATCATTCTAGAGAAGCAAGAAGATATTTTTTTTTTGCTAGTAAGTTATTCATGACCATTCATAATTTTTATATACTACTGTACCGCAAAAGAAAAAAATCGTCAGTAAAATGGCACAATTTCTTCCAAAGTGATGATATGTGCAAATATTTATTCCCACAAATGTTCAGTAATCTGTTACTTCCCACAGGCATTCCTACAAACAGCAGCTCACCTCCATGAGTGCTTGTAAATTAAGCAGGATTACAGAACGCCAACAAGGGAGACTGACTGGTAAAAGAAATATTAACACCTTTTTCAAGTCCCTTTATTGCTCAGCTCTGTTGGTACAAGCCTGGAAAACACAGACTTCACAACTTTGCAGCACTTTCCCTCATGCTCAGAGTGTTTAAGGTAGAGAGGTAGAATGGAAAGGAGAACCTGGTCACCACCCCAAATCCTTCAGTCTTTAGCAACTGATACTGTAAGCGCGTTGCGGAATGGAGAAATAAGGAAAAGGCCTTCCCCAGACCATCCTGGTTAGGTACCTGTTGGTGATAAGGAGGAAACTGCTCTTTGATAACAAGCTGGCAGGTTGCATGGAGCCACTTGCCAGGAGTCTAACATATGGCAAAGGGCACTCACATAATGAAAGCACTGAGCTTGATCCTGACTTTGCATGGCCACGCTTACCACAAAATCGTCTATATACTGGCTTCTCCCATAGTGGTTTTGAGAAAAGCAAATCTCGCAATTTTTTTTTTTCCCTGCCAGACGTGAAGCCAATGAGAAGAGCAATTATAGACTGTTTACTGGAAGATTGAACCATACTGTCATCTAGCGGACAAAGAACTTATTTTACTAGTTTTCTAAAAAAAATACAGGGCCTGATTCTTCTATCCAAAACCTGACAAACCATCTTGTTGAATTCAAGGGCGTGTTTCACATCACTACAGGGTCATCTGGAGTTTCCAATTCCAAAATGCCAAAGACTGCTTCTCCTGGCCAGAATTTTGTGAAGCAATTGTTTGAATGATAGTTCCAACCTGCTGAAAAGGAATATGAAACTCTTCACTAAACGTGAAAGTTAACTACTAGAAAGTTCATTTGGGGGAGTTTGCGGGGCAGCTCCCCCCGCCTTTTCTTTTTCCCTGCTGAGTAGCTATCATAATTTGTTTTCCATGATTATCTCTAAAGTGTACTATTATCATAGCCTGGTA